CGATGTTGAATTAATGTTTGTGGATCAAGTTGAAAAGCAATAGAATATAATGCTTCTGTATTATTTAATCGATATTCAATTGAATTTTGTGTTTGAATAACTAAATGACATTCTTCTTCACAATCATTAATGAAATGTGCTAAACGTGATTTCATCCAACCAATCCATTCATCAAGTTCCGAACTATTTACACTTGTAAGTGTTAATTGAACAAGTGATTTTGTTTTTTCATTTGGAAAATCATTATTTAATTCAAGAATTTGTTTAAGTGCATTAATTTTATCTTCCAAAGTAATTGTATTTATTGTATCAAATAATTGTAATACACGTTGAAAACCTTGAATAATAAAATCACGTGTAGAATTTATTGTTGAACGTCCTGTATTATTATATGGTGGACTTGGTGATATAATACGCATTGCACCACGATTATGTACTGATAATTTTTCTGAAAGAGTTTTTTGTTTATAAGATTTTGAATAAAGACGAAATGGTTGTGATGACCAATTAAATTTTGCAAAAGTTGTAAAGAATTGTTGAACTAATGAAAAGAATTCATCAATAGAAAAATGTTCAATTGATGAAAGAGATTTGATTGGTGATAAATATGTATGACAAATATATGCACATAAAATAGCCCAAGAGTAACCACCTAAATAACCATATACTTGTCCATAAAGACCAACATGTTGAGCCCAAGTACGAATAAATGTTAGAAGATGTTGAAAGATAGGTGGACAACGAACATATATCAACAGACGTTCAATATCATGTATCTAAACAGAAAAATTATCATATGAATAGGATAAAAATATCCTAGAAATAAAATCCTTTATTTTTTTAGTTCAATATAACATTTTCTTTGGTCAAAAGAATCTTTTTTGGTTCAAAAAAAAAAATAATGCAGAAACTTATCGAACAGGTTTTCTAGAGTTAAACATTTGGAACCATCGAAACTATTTCATAAAGTTTAGTTATAATTTTTTTTCTGTAACTTTAGATGATAAGAAGACTAAGTTTTTAGAAGTTCAAATACGCAAATATAATTTTGTTTAAATAATATAAAATGAACGAGCACACAATTTTTTACAACATGAGACATCTTCCAGCTGTTAAGAAAGGTTCTTAGCTGAGATACAACGATTTGATTGAAGGATCAAAAATGATTTTTATATTGGAAGTTATTTTTCGGACCTTTGTAAGATTGCTGTATTTGATTGTTGGGAAGGATTTTATCTACTAACTATCTCATATTTGTTCTTTATAACATTGAAAATAACTATTTATGATGATTTATAATATGTCTTACCCCATGTATAGATTCTTGAGAATTTGAATCATTTAAAGATTGTTCTTTATTTATTTCAATTTGTACAAATATTTCTACTTTTGTTTGATCATTAAATAAAATTGATATTATTGGAAATAATGCTTCAATTTTTCGATAATAAACTATTTCATTTTTTAAATTTCCTTCTATTTGTGTTATAAGTAAATTAACTATATGATTAGTTAATGTAGTTGAATCATGTTTTAGTTGATGAAATGTTTCATCAAAACTTGTTTCATTATTTCTTGATTTAAGTTCATGTAAAACAAATACTGTATCAAGATCTTCTCCATTGATACCCTACAATAAATTATTCAATAAATATTTTTTTTTGTTGTGATAAAATAAATTTTATCTTACAATACGAAAACTTCCATATGGTAGAAATGAATGAGTAAAACAATATAATGTATCTTGATTAAACATTTGTTCAAAACAAGATGAAAGTTTATCGAATTTGTCTTGTTTTCGTTTGTATGATTCACTTGTTTCATAAAGATTCATTGTTTGAAAAAATTGTTGTAATTTAATATCAACACAATTTAATTGTTTAGAATTTATTGGTTGAAGTATAGGACCTAATGGTAATTGATAAGTAATATGAAAAGGTGTTGTATCATTGACATGTGATCGTTGTAAAATATAAATATATTCGACAGGAAATTCAAATGATTCGTTTAAAACTGAATGAAAACAAAAAAAAAACAGTTAGTCTTCATTTGTACTAACTTTCATCAAAATAATTCATAAGTTTTGAACAAATTGTTATATCTATAGACAAAAAATCATTGAAATCCGGAAGAAGCAACTGAAGAAGTTTCCTCGTAAGTTGATTTTATGAAGAAAAAAAAAACTATCTGAGTAATTACTTTTTCTCTCATTGCTGAAATTTACTAGAGACTGTATTTTAGAAAAGTACTAGCCAACTTTTAAAACAATAGCTAATGAAAAATTGAACACGTTCATTAGATTTATTGCCTTGCAATAACTTACCCAATGATGATTTTGCTTCATTTCGTTTTTCTTGATTATCAAATTGTGCAATTATCATCGACGGATTATAACTATATCGATTATTTTTCGAGCATTGTGGGAATAATTTTTTAAGTTGTTCATGTAATTGTTTAACATATTTTGTTGATTGTTCATTTAGTTTCATAAAACTAATATGATTTTCAATAAATGAATCAATTTCATTGATTTCAACAGAAAATGATGAATATTGACTTAATAAAAGTCTTAATGGTAAAAGAATATTTTCTTGATCATCTTGACAATCAGTTATATCAAAAAATGGCCATAATAAATTAATATGTGGTGGCCATCGATTAAAAGATGGATCATATTGTTCACGATATGAATCAATTATTGACCATTGATTTATTGTTGGTAAAATAACAAGTGCTGAACGATGACTTATTGATCTTGTTCGAAAACTAATAATTAATTGTAAAGCATAATGATCAGATTGATTGATACGTTGATTATTATCAATATCCAATGAATCAACTGGAATTGTTTCAGTACCAATCATTGAAAGATGTTCAATAGAATAAGAAAGATTATCTAATGTATGTAATAAATATCGATC